AGAGCTATGGCTGCTAACCAAAAGGTTGGCAGTTCAAATCCACCAGCCACTCCTTGGAAACCCTATGGGGCAGTTCTACTCTGTCCTATAGGGTCCTATGAGTCAGAATCAACTCAACAGCAATGGTTTTTTTTGAGGGGGGGAGGGGGATCTATAAGAATCACCTGGGAATCTTATTAAACTATAGATTCTGATTCAGTATATCTGGAGTAGAAACGCAAATTCTCAGCAAGGGGTCGAAACGGAAGGAACCGGTTCGATGCCCTGCTTTGTCCACTTAAACCCTCCACCCTCTAATAAACCAAACCTGTTGCCATCGAGTCAATTCCAATTCATAGTGACCCTATAGGACAAAGTAGAATTGCCCCATAGGGTTTCCAAGGAGTGGCTGGTGGATTCGAACTCCCAACTTTTGGGGTAGCAACTGAGCTTTCACCCTCTAATATTATATACCATTATCCTCCGAAGAGCCCCTAGTTTTCCTTTCCAAGCCCCTAAAAATATCTATCCTCAACTTTAGGGAAGACAGAGAGAGGTATATAAACACTGCCCAAAAGATACAGAGAAATAGAAAGACAGAGACCAGAAGGCACACTCGGAAGCAGAAATAAGACTTAGAGATGATGTGTGTTCCCAAATTGCTAGGGTGGGTGAGCTAACATAATCTCCATGTGTGTTTATAATGATCACTGATAGAACTGCCTTGACAACTCTTCTAGATAAAAAGCAGAACTAGGCTTTAGGCTGACATGTGTGCATTGTTTCTGTCTCCAGGAAAACCGGAAGAGAAGTGTTTCTTTCCATTCCACTGCAACTTTCTTGACTCAGAATTTAAAAATCCCAATCTTTTTGTTCCCTTCTCCCTAGGAATGAAAGGGAACATGGCAGAACATGTCCCTGAAACATGGCAGAAATCCCAATAGCTTAGGAAAAAGCAATGGAAGGAGAAAGTCTTTGAATAAGATGTCCAGGTGGTCTGATGGCTATACCTTTGTCCTCAAGGGCCTTTGGAGTTATGACCTGTTACACCTGCAACTATGCTGCCCAGCAACTGGGACTGGGACAGAGCTTGCTGAGTCACAGGGATATCAACCCAACCCAAGTGCCCCTTTGCACATTGTATTACCTTTTCTCCTGACCCATTCTTGCCTCCTAGGAATGAGGCAAGAGTATCTTTAAGATGACTGGTTGGAATCTCCCGGGAGACACACAGGACATACTTCCTAACCCTCATTAGTGTCTCATCCCCTGCTTATGGCTAACATTCTGAAGGACTCCATTCTTAATCAGTTTTTTTTTTTTTTTTTCCCATCAGTTATCCAAGCATTTGATGTTGGTAAGGAATTTTGTGATTTTTCCCCAAGGCTTTGGCATGAAGGCAGTGGGAAAAGTATTGGGATGGAGGAAGGAGAAGACAAGTGCTGAGTTCCAGGTCCTAGAAGTGGAGCCACTTCCAGGGAGCCACTCTCTCCAAAGCAGGCTGGACATATTCCTAGGATGCCAGGCCCCTAGACATTCAGACCATCCCCGAATCCACTCACTCCCGTGGATACAGACCCACTGTCCTTGGAGCAGTCCTACTCTGGTCTTCACTCATTCTTCTTTGTCATCTAACTCATGGGAAATGCAAATATACCTTCCTTCTCAACTTTCAGATGGAATCTTAGAGAAAAAGGAGTCAATTGTTTACTGACACAGGATGGGGCCCTGGATCCCAGGGAGAATTAACTGTTGAGTTAGATGATAATATGGATTCTGGCCCACCTCCTCGCCCCAACCCTTCCCCCTAATACCTCTATCAGAGCTGGTGGGTAACTTCATAACCGCATTCCTTGGTGAGGAAAGAAGGCAGGGCAGGCTCAAGCTGGAAGCAGAGCACAGGGACCTGTGGAGGACCTAAATGAAGGAGGCCTTCAGGGAGAATGCTTATTGAACAGGTAGGGTGCCAGATGGAGGGTTGTTTGTTTGCCCCACTTACTGTTCAATAGGGGAGGCACATGAAGACTTCCAGGCACTAAAGGAAGAGGTTCAAAGAGAGACCCAAGAAGTAAAGAAGCTGAACCGAGTAGGGCAAAACTCCCTGCTCAGCTCCCTCAGCAAACTTCTAGGGAAGAAAAAGGAGCTCCAAGACCTTGAGCTCTTGGTGAGGCCCTTGTGGAAGGATGGGAGATGTGGGAGGAGGAAGTTTTTGGTAAAGGTGTGCATGGGTATCACAGTCAGTGGGGGGATCGGATGGTGGCAGGAGGTGGCCAATGGCCCAGGGAATCAATAGTGGATGCCTTCCACAATGTCGCGAAGTACCCCTGAGGCTGCCAAGGTATTCCCTTTGTCCCCCTGGAGAAGAGCCAACAGTGCAGATTCCCCTGGCACGTGCTCCATCCTGAATGACAGGAGGTAGGCAGCAGGCCAGAAGGGCCCTCTGTTGGAAAGGGACTGGAACCTTTCCTGAGCCCAAGACTCATGGACGAAGGAACCCAGGGGTCCAATACTTTTCAAGACTTGTTACCTTGAAAGAGAAATGGGAAATGGGAGAGAGTTAACACATGTTGATGGCTTACTACATGCCAGGCACCATATTGGGCCCTTTACCCATGCTATCTTCAATAGTCACCCCCTTTTTCTCACAGCTTGAAGGGGCTCTAGACAAGGGACATGAAGTGACCCTGGAGGCATTCCCAAAAGATGTCCTGCTATCAAAGGACACTAAAGAAGCCGTCCTCTATTTCCTTGGAGCCCTAACAGGTAACTGGAGAATAATGTTTTCATTTACATACCTTTTCGGGGATCAGAATAGTTCCCAAATGAATAAATGAATGCATACATGCCAAGCAAATCATACTACAGTTAAGTGGTTTATATCTACATTTTTAAACCTTGGATGGTTTGAGGAGACAGCCTAATCTTGCTAGTAAAGATTGAGAAATAACCCTAGTTTTATCAACCACACCCTTAGAATTTCCCTATATAGGTAAGCTCATCACTTCTGTGTTGACACCTATTAGCCATAATTTCAGGGGGTAACATCTTCTGATCTTGCTGACATTTTCTCTTCTTCCCTCTGCATGAAACATTCCTGCATCTAGAAAAATCCCCTTGTCCTTCAGGTGTAAGCTGAGATGTTTGTTCCCCTAGGAAGCCTGCCCTTGAACGCCAAGACCAAAATAGATCCTTCAGCTATGGGCTCCCTTAACACCCTGAATTGTAATTACATGTTAGTCTTCCCCTCTAGACTGCAAGTCCCTTGAGTGAAGGGAGTATTATTTTTACCTAACACCCAGCAAGGTAGACATTTAACCATGAATGAATGAATAAATAAAGAATGGATGAATGATGAAATTCTAGGAGCAAACCTATTTAAAATCCGTAGTCCCCTATGGACCAGCAATACACACATCTCTTTCTCTGTTGTTTTTTTTTCCCCCTCCAGAACTAAGTGAAGCCCAACAGAAGCTACTGGTAAAATCTGTGGAGAAAAAGATCCTGCCTGTGCAGCTAAAGTTGGTGAGAGAAAATGGCAGATGCCCGGGAGACTTTGGGAGGAAGGCAGCTAGAACCAATAGAAAGACACAGATTTAGCCTAATGACAGCACAGTCCTAGAGGGCCCCATCCTGTTCCAGCAGCTCATGCCCACTTCTCATTTGTCATCTTTCTTCCCTTTTTGTTATTTTTACAAGAGGTAGAAGAGTGAATTTGGGGGCAATGATCTTGGTTTTTCAGCCTGATCTTGGGAGAAGAGACAAACATCTGACTTGGCTTTGCTTATTCCTAGCTGAGCAAAGCTTTTAAATTCTCTGAGTCTGTTTCAATGTACTCCTCTGTAAAATGGGACTAAAAATAACTGTGCTACCTACTGTGCAGGGCTGTTAAAAGGCCCAGCTGTAGGAATGGCTGTAAAACATTTACAAATGTAAGGAGTTATAATAAGGGGGAGAATGTAGTCCTTTTAGTGGTTTTTATGAGTTGGGAGAAAGGAGGAGAGATTCCCAGTTCTTTCTTTTCATGCTGGTCTGGTTCCTTCCAGGTGGAAAGCACAATGGAACAGAATTTCCGGCAGGATAGAGAGGGTGTCTTCCCCCTGCAACCTGACCTGCTCTCTTCCCTTGGGGAAGAGGAACTGACCCTCACCGAAGCCCTAATAGGGCTGAGTGGCCTGGAAGTGCAGAGATCAGGCCCCCAGTACACCTGGGACCCAGACACCCTCCCACACCTCTGTGCCCTTTATGCTGGCCTCTCCTTCCTGCACCTGCTGACCAAAGCCTCCTAACTTGCTTTGCCTCCTGTTGCCTGCTTCCCTAATGCCTTCCATATCTCAGTGCACTGTGTCCTTAACACCCAACCGTGTTTCAGAACCACGAGGCTAAGGATGATGGAAACCCTAGCTGATCACCTAAGATAACCAATTTTCACCTGCCCAACCATATATATCCCCAGCTCTGCAACTCCCCCTGATCATCTGCTGATACCTAAATCTTCTAGAAGTAGAATTTCTCTAACTCTTAAAGACTATGAACCATTTCAGCAAGAACAACAAAAAGATAAATTAATTTCCTTCCCCAATCCCCCCACTTGTACTTCCAAAAAACACCTTTTATCAGAATTAATGGAAAATATTGTGTCACTTGTAATGTCTTTGATGTTTTTCTTTAAAGAATCTATCACAGGGGGAAAAAAATAGACATTATCATACTGTCGCCAGGGTCTTCTGCCCAACCTGGGCAGCCCCTCTGAAGTTCTTGCCTTCTACTAACCAAGAATGACCAGGAGAGGCTCAAGTTTTCTGCACGAACAAAGCTTTATTGAGCAAAACTAGCTCGTGAGCGGAGACAAAAAGGACAAAACAACACTAACCTTTTTCTCCCCAAATAAAGGATTGGCTAGGGCTTATAAAGGTTTTTAGGCGGGAAAAGGCATCATCTTTATTCATGAAAGAGGCGGGGTTATGAAGATTAGGTGCGCACGCAGGAGGCAGCCCAAGATGGAACCCCTAACTAAGGCTCCTGGGACTGGATGGCAGGACTTATCATGGGGTGCAGCATCTGCGCATTTCCCCGATTGTTCTGGCTCGATTCCTGTCACGGGTCTGTAGGTCACCTTGCAGATGTCTGCGCATTCTCCAGGGACCAGATAGGGGCCAGTTCTTCTGAAAAACATCTTATCAAGGAAGTAAATTGAGAGCTGGGTGGGTTGTTCTTTCTTTATTGCATGTTCCAAGATAATGGGTTTTATGTCATTAGTTAAGCACAGGTTTTCTTTGCCTAGGGGCTCAGTCCCTTTTTCCTTTCCCTATCTCAATACTATACAAAGATCGTATGTACATGAATACTACTATACTGTCCTCAGGCCACCTGGAAAATGCTAGGAGAACTATAAAGGTGTAGAATGTAGACTCTAAATTCTAAAGTGAGAAGATCATCAAAGAACTTGTCTACAAAGAAGAGCCTTTGGAGTCCTCTGGGCCTGAGTTGAGGTTTTAGGAAAGGGAAAGGCCAAGAAATACACAGCACAAGCCCCAAACAAGAGTAAGACAACTTTCAAGTTTGTTTTACAATTAATAGAAAATGCAGACGGGTCTTTAAAAAAAAAAAAAAAGGAGCCCAAGAATAAGAGCTTAAACTTTAGAAATAAATTACGACATTATCATCTGACTTCCTCTCTCTCTCATTTGCCTTTGATTCAGAGTGGCTATAGGAAGAAGGGCTGTGGGTAGCCTTGGCATATGGACCTGCTGATGTGTATATTGCAGTCTCATGAAACTGCTAGATTCATATTGTCCTCTTCTGCCTAAAGCTGGGTTTTAACATCTTCCACCAATATCTTTTAAAGTAGTTTTATGGATGGAATAATTTCTCCAAGGCTTTTGGCCCCTGGAGCCAGACTCTTCCCTCTTCTTGGCCACCTCCTGCCCAGGCTAGTTCTCTCACTCACCAAGAATCCATGACCAACTGCCAATTGCTTTGTGTTAAGCCACCCTCCCCCATTCTGGGGCATCTTCCAAGGCCTCACTATATTGCTCATGGACATACTGGGTTGTTACTTGCTGACTTGATTGTTCTTCCCTTGTGAAGTAAACTTAATAGAGTGGTGAGCTAACATCCTAACAATCCAGAAGGGTAACTTCTTCGATTATAAGGATGAACAACAAAGCTCGTCTCTTTTCTCCCTTTCCCACTGTCACCCACCTTCAGTTAAGATAAGGTGTTACAACGAAGCAGCTTTAATGAGTTTATTCCAGGGATGATTCAAAGGTCCTGTCAACCATCTCCCAGCCTTGGGGAGGGGGACAGCTAGGGGCAATTGAGCAAAGCATGTTCCTTAAAACTGGAGCACCCATTTTCCAGTTAGTAAGCAGCTGTTTAGTGCAAGGAACAATTTGTTGTAATAGAAGGAAAAGGAGGATACAAAGGTTCAAACATATCCTCTGCCTTCTAGGACCTTACAACTAGGCTAGATTGTCTTGTAGGGTCTGTCCCAGGTCTAAACGTTCTGGACTTCCATTTACGGAGTAAAGAAGTTCCAAGGTACGGAGCGAGTTTTTTGTTTTGTATCTTAAATTGGGACCTTTTACTTCTTCCTGACATCACCTACCCTGCAGAGTAACTGGAGGGTTCCCTTGAAAAATAAGTGAAAAGAATTTTGGTCCAGTTTCCTTCCACCCGGGGATTCTCAGGCTCTCCTTAGATATACAATTGTTTCCCATTTCCCCATGGATGTCTGTCTCAATGCATAAAGGTCCCCCAACGGACCCCCTAAAGCCCGTCAATAGGGGCATCCACCTCCCTCCCTCAGGGCTCAGAATACACCACAGCCCAGAGCCGAAATTCCAGTTATCCACACGGTCAGATTCCCTCGTAGACTAAATTCTTAATCTAGGTTTTTCATTCCCCACGTGGTTAGCCAGGGACGGTACAGAGTGGACTCGTATCTCTTATAATACTGGAGTGATTCTACGCAAATACACCCTCCTTCCTATCCGCACTCCCTAGTGGCAGAGCTTTTATGTCTCTTTGAGCACTAAACTAAAATCTGAGAAGGAAACCCGGATTCCAGAGGGATCTTCCTACTCCCCTGTTCCGTTTTATTCTAAGCGCAACTGCCTAGCTCCTCTTTCACGGCCTTCATTTCTTCCCTCGCGCCGGTTACACCCGGTAGCCGTTGACAAACCTCGCGAATGCCGAAGGCGACCCAGACCACGCGACAAGCTATGCGAGCTTGGTCTAGGAACCGGCCCGGGAACTCTGATGTCATCACGTCCTGCGCTCGGATAGGCTGTACCCCCTCCAAGCAGGTTGCGGAGTCCGGGTGGTGTAGCCTTAGGGGACCTCTGGTGGACATCCCCAGAAATGCACTCTAGAGGAAAAGAAAACACGTGAGCACGCCAAAGAAAGCCCCACAACCCGTACAGGCTCCTCCCCGCTCTTTCCTCGAAGATCCGCCTCCATCCTGCACCTCGGCTCTTGATTTCTTTCCCCTTTGTTGACTCAGCCATCGGCCAACCAGGCCTGACACTTCCCAGAAAGCCCAGCGCCGGGAAGGGGTTTGCAGCTGCTCCGTCATCGTGCGGCCCGACGCGAGCCTGCGCTCTTGTGCAGGCCCGGCTAGGTTTCTGGTCCCCGGTGCGAGGGCTCACGCGAGGCCCCGGCCTCGGTCCCCGGACTAGGCCGCGATCCCGGGCGCCATGAAGCAGGAGGGTTCTGCGCGGCGCCGCGGAGCGGATAAGACGAAGCCGCCGCCCGGCGGAGGGGAACGTGAGCCACCACTGCCACCGGCCCCCCAGGATGTGGAGATGAAAGAGGAGGCATCAGCGGGTGGTGGGCCAGCGGCGGATACCGACGGCAAGGCGGCGGCTGAGCACTCCCAGCGAGAGCTGGACACCGTCACCTTGGAGGGTACGGACGCCCGGACCGGGGACTTGCCGCGATCACGGGTGACAGCGCCCCCGGAATCCAGCCTCTCTCTAGGACGCTAGCGCAGCCTCCACCACCCCTGGTTCCTTAGGATCACCACCAAATGCTGGTTGCCACCACTCTGACACTCCTGACCCCAGCCCCAAAGACACAGCCTTCTCTCCAGATTCAGGACTCCTCCCCCAACATTCTCACCTGAAGTTGCATCTAGAACTGGATCTCACTGGGCCTGGGGACCCCCTCTCCCAAGTCCTCCCCTCTGACCTGCCACTTACATCCCACGGACTGATTCTAGTGACCCCAGCATATGACTGATCCCTCTAGAATTCAGTGTTTGTATTTACGTTTGTGGAAAAGGGGCTAGGATGACACAGGAGTTTCATCTTGAGTTTTAAGAGTGTCCAGAACGTTTCTGTTGTCTTAGCTGCCTTTCACAAACTCCCTAAAAGAATCATTTTTCTACCTAGCAACTTACTTCTTTCTCTTAATTGAAGCGCTCAAACGGTCCCCTTGCTCTTTTCCTCTGTCTTCAAGCCCTTACTCCCACTCTTTTTCTCAAGAGTTTAAACACACTCATTTTCGACTTTTTAGGTGTCATCTTTGAGTTAGTAATACCTTTAACCTAAACTGCTATATACCAGTCCCCCCATTTCTTTTCTCCAAGGTACCATTTCCTAGTTTCCTACCTACCTCGTTTATGTTTTACTTTTCCCACTTAGAGCGTCCTGTCCACATTTGGAGTGAATAGAGAGAGAGCTTCCCACTGTGACCCTGGTTCTGGATCAAGTGGAACCAGACGAAGTTATTGGGTTTTCTCTCTAAACTGGATCAGCAACTAACTCAAAAATACTGAGATAAGCAAAGTTACGCTCCTGGGTGATGCTTTTAAGGATATGGTAGTGTCAACTGCATCAGCTTCTACTCTTAAGCAGGATCAGTATCTAATAAAGACCCTTTTTACCTAAAATAATGAAAGTCAGCCAGTGACAGAGGTGCCACTCAGTGTCATCTACTGGGTGTACTGCGTGTATGTATATATACACATATAATGTGTTTTGTGTATTTCTATATATATTTCTTACAAACACTTCATTTTGTTAAGAATACAGCCTCTGGATTTGTTTTCTCATCTGTATGAGTGAGAACAATAGTACCTACTTCATTGGGTTGTAAAGATTAGACTGCTTAGAACTGTGCCTGGCACATGGTGAACACATAGTAAGCTTTCAATAGATTTTAGCTGCTATTATTATATATATTATTGTATATAGTTATAGTATTAATGTGGCCCAGGCATCCTGTACTAACTCTGGGTATACAAAGGTAACGAAGAAGCTACCAATTGTTTGTGTTCCTTTATTGTTGGACATTTAGGTTGTTTCCAGTTAGAGATGGCTTTGCAACAATCATCTTTGTGCTCAAGTTTTTCATCTACTTTTATGATTATTTGTATAGTATAGATTCCCAGATTCTATCTGCCTAAGTCAAAAACGGTGAACATTTTTAAAGTTTTTGATAGATATTATCCAGGAAAACTGTCTGGATTTACATTACACCAGCAGAAATGTCATTTTCACTGTATTCTATATTTTACCTTTTTTTTTTTTAATATTGTTAATTTGGTAGTTGAAAAATACTTCCATTTGCAGTTATTCGAGTAGTGAAATATATTTTTTTATGTCAGTTAGCTATTTGTTTTTCCTCTTTTGTGTATCATCTGTGTCCATTTTTATTTTGAAATTGTAGTAATAGAGTTTCTCTTAGCCATTTATACAAGCTCTTTATAGAGAAAATAAGCTATAGTGTTATGTAGAATATATATCTATAGAATAAATATATTATTTACATAGAATTATTAGTCTTTGGTCACATTTTTTGCCCATATTTTTCTTTGGTTTACACAACTATCCAAGAGTTTTTTTTGTTGTTTTTAATAGGGAGTCAGATCCACTGAGTTGTGTGCATGTGTGTTGTGTCTGTGTGATCCTTTGTTTAAGTTTAGAAAGTCTTTTCCTATTTAGGGATCTGATAAATCCACAGATGTTTCTTTTGTTTTCCTTCTCATCATTTTTCCTTTCTTCCTCTTCTTTCTGCACCCTCTTCCCTGTACCCCACCCCATTTTTATTTTTCCTTGTCTCTTGGCTGTATCTTAAAATCAGTGTGTAGAATCCATAAGTATTGCTTAATCCTATGAGAGGAAAGAGGTGACTGGCAGTGGCGGAATAGGAGTGGGAAGTCACGTGTTTTTCTCCTCTGGTCCTCCACAGACATCAAGGAGCATGTAAAACAGCTGGAGAAGGCCGTTTCAGGCAAGGAGCCACGATTTGTGCTGAGGGCCCTGCGGATGTTGCCTTCCACGTCACGCCGCCTCAACCACTATGTTCTGTACAAGGCTGTGCATGGCTTCTTCACCTCAAATAATGCCACTCGAGACTTCTTGCTATCCTTCCTAGAAGAGGTGAGTGGATCGGGCAGCTTGAAGGGTGTGGGCTTGGCCGCAAACCCCCAGGATGCAAGTGGTGTTTCCTATCTCCTAGACCTTATTAATGCCTGCTATAGCACGAAGAGGAAAGTCCATTTCAGTACTCATTTGCCCACTACCACCACCCAAGGGAACCTAGTATCCTTCCTGGTAAGGGAAAGGAGCTGCTAGTCAGGACCCTTCCAGCCAAACCATTCCCTACCACACTACTCCCAACGTGTATGTACCCTCTCCTCCTGTCAGACGGCATCTCCATTGCCCTAGAGGAGATGCCACCACCTCTTTGTCTCTGAATCTTCACCGCAGAGGAAGTATAGAACAGTGGTAAAGAACACAGATTTTGGAGGTAGAGTTGAATTTGAATCCCAGCTCTACCAGTTAGTACCTGTAGGCCTTGCCAAATGACTTAATCTCCCTGTGACTCATTTTCTTCAATGTTAAAATGGGGAGAATAATAGATTTGGGGGAGGGGAGTGTATATAAAGCACTAGGGACAGTGCCTGGCACGTAGTGAGTGCTGATGAAGTTAGTTGGTGGTCTTCATGCCAGGAGAGACCTTTCTTTAATCTTTCCAGCTATAAAACTCCCTGCATCCTTCATGGTACGATCTAGGTCCTGCCCCTTTGCAAACCTCGACAGTCCTTCCAACCAGCTTCGTCTCCTTAAAATCCTATATACTTACAGTCTATTCCATAGATGTGAAAACTCTGAAAATCCCTTAGGGTAGAATGATGAAGAGTTTAGTGTCTGGGAAAAGGGGAAAATGTATCCTCCCCCCCTCCCACCCTGATTTTTTTTTTTTTCCTTCTTTAAATTCACTAAACATGATCATTTTTGGAGCCATCTGTAATACGTTTCTTCTAGTTTCAGTGATTAGATTTGAAAATAAGTACTGTATGTATTTCACTTTTCCCCAAATTTCCTTTGTTCCCACAAAAAAAAAAATTTTTTTGTTTCATCTTGAGTTCATCTCTAGAATTATATCACTTAAGTAAACCCTGTTTGATATTTGCAGTGGTTACATGTATGGTGGCTTAATCTCTCTACTTAGATTGTAGGCTCCTTGAGGATTCCTTATGTCATCCCGTATGTCCCCGTTATATTCTGTAGAGACATTGTTATACTCCTGTAACCTGTTAGGTGTATTTATTGTATTGCCAGCCTCCTTGACTACCTTGAGAAAGTGACCATGTCATCTTTATTTTTGTATCCCCAACACCTAGCAAAATCTTGGCACATAGTAGCCGTTCAGTAGATGTTTATTGAAATGTATAGTAGGTGTTCAATAAATTCTTGGTTGATTAATCTGATTGAGCTTTTCCATGGTAACAACTCATGTCGTCTTGTAGCCCATGGACACAGAAGCCGATTTACAGTTCCGTCCCCGAACAGGAAAAGCGGCGTCGGCACCCCTGCTGCCTGAAGTGGAAGCCTATCTGCAGCTCCTCGTGGTCATCCTCCTGATGAACAGCAAGCGCTACAAAGAGGTATCCAGGATGCAAGAGCAACTGGCATGCCCTGAGCAGTGCAAGGGGTGTGTGGGGGAGTTGTCTCTAGCGAAGAAGTGGAAATCATCACTGGGTTGTTAAGAACCCTTCCCCCATGTGGGCACGCACTTAACCCCACATCCAGAGAGACCCCTCAATTCCTCCTCTGGCCACCATGGGAAAGGCTGAGGGCTGGCAGTGGTCATTCCATACCCGTTGGTGTCACAATACCAATGTAGTGTGGATTCTTATGGGGAAAGTAGGGAATTTAGAGAAAGACCTGGGTTCAAATCCTAGCTGTACCTTAGGCAAATTAATTTCTGCTAGCTGTATGTAAAATGGGTTAACAATGGCTACCTTGTAAACACTGTTGTTGGTATTAAGTAAGACAATACATTTAAAAATACTTAGCACAATAATCTGTGCATAATAAGCCTTCACAATATCTTAATAAATGAAAGCTATTAGGAGCCCTGGTGGCACAGTGGTTAAGCACTCGGCTGCTAACTGAAAGGTTGGTGGTTCGAACCTACCAACTGCTCCATGGGAGAAAGATGTGACAGTTTGTTTCCATAAAGGTTTACAGCCTTGGAAACCCTATGGGGCAATTCTCCTCTGTCGAAAGGGTCACTATGAGTTGGAATTGACTCTACAATAATGGGTTTGGTTTGGTTTTTTTAGTATTACATTTCTTCCACTGTCCCAGGAGCGTGTTTAAGAAATGATTGGTCCCAGGCTGAGATTCTGGCCCTACTCCTCTTTTTTTTTTTTTTGGTGATATGATTCACACACCATAAAATTTACCCCTCTGAAGTGTACAATTCAGTGGCCTTTAGTATATTCACAAGGTTGTGCAGCCATCACCACTGTCTAACTCCAAAACATTTCATCACCCCAGAAAGAAATCCCATACCTGTTAGCAGTCACCCCCCATTCCTCCCTCTCCTCAGCCCCTGGCAATCACTAATCTAGTCTCTGTCTAAGGATTTACCTGTTCTGGACATTTTGTATAAGTGGACTCATAATAGGTGGCCTTTTTATGTCTGGCTTCTTTTGCTTAGCGTAATGTTTTCAAGGTTGTAGCACGTATACATGTTGTAGCATATGTCTGTACTTCATTCCTTTTTGTGGGCGAATAATATTCCATTGTATGGATACACCACATTTTGTTTATTCATTCATTCCTTGAGGGCCATTTGGGTTGTTTCCACTTTTTGGTTATTATGAATAATGCTAATGTGATTATTTGTGTACAAGTGTTTGTGTGAACATATGTTGTCCATTATCTAGGAGTAGAATTGCTGGGTCACATGATAACTGTGTTTAATGTTTTGAAGAACTGCTACTTCATTTCCTTTTGGCCTCCTCTCCAGGCACAGAAAATCTCAGATGACCTGATGCAGAAGATCAGTACTCAGAATCGCCGGGCCCTAGACCTTGTGGCTGCAAAGTGTTACTACTACCATGCCCGGGTGTATGAGTTCCTGGACAAGCTGGACGTGGTGCGCAGGTACAGGTGGCCAGGAGTCTCACTTGCAGCCCTTGGGGTCAAAGACCTGGTGAGCCACTACTAGACCTCTGGATTTGCAGAGGGACATAAGCAGGTAGATGTAAGGCACCCAGTGGGAAATGAGGTTAACGTGCCTTGAACCATGTGAGGGCTTTGCAAAAGAGACTACATCTAGCTGCTAAGAACTGTCCCCCAGACTCTTCCCTTCACCCCACACCAGGGGAGGGCTGATTTGTGAGTTGGGGTGGAGGGAGAAGCTGGAAAACGTCATTCCTCTGTTCATTACCTGTAGTAGCGCTCCATTTGCTTTAAGAAAAAGCCAGCTGTCCTCATGGTAGTTTATAAGCCTGACCTGACGTGGCCCCTGTTACTGCCTCCTGACTTCGTCTCTGCCTGCTCTCCCCCTGATTGACTTCTCTCAGCCACACTGGCCTCTTTGCTCTTCCTTGTGCATGCCAGCCACACTCCTCCTCAGAGTCTGCACTAGCTCTTGCCTCTGCCTGAAACAGTCTTCTCCCTACTTCTTTTAAGCCTTTGCTTAATTGCTACCTTCTCAGTGGGTCCTACTCTGACCAGGCTATTTCAGATTGCAACCCCATCCTCACCCCTGGCCCTGCATTCCCCATTGCACTTAATCCTGATTTTTTTCATAGCTCCTACCGCCTTCTATCATGCTGGGTAGTACGCTTATTATGATTATTGTCTGTCTCCCCCCCTAGAATGTAAGCTCCCTGAGGGCTGGTTTTTGTCCTTTTCATTCACCTAGAATAGTGCCTCACGTAGTAGGCACTTACTAGTTGCATATTCAGTGAATAAACAGAAAAGCGGTGAGTATCTCTTTTTTAGGAATTGAGAGATCCTGGAGAGTTCAAAGGCAGTTTGAAGAGTAGTGACTTGAGGCCGCTGGCATCTTTCTTTCTTTCTTGAAGCTTCCTGCACGCTCGACTCCGTACAGCCACCCTTCGGCATGACGCTGATGGGCAGGCCACCCTCCTGAACCTCCTGCTGCGTAACTACCTGCACTACAGCTTGTACGACCAGGCTGAGAAGCTGGTGTCCAAGTCCGTGTTCCCGGAGCAGGCCAACAACAACGAGTGGGCAAGGTACCTCTACTACACAGGTGAGCAGAGGGGCCCTCCCACAACGCAGAAGGGCCTCAGGCTCACTCGCTGCAAGTTTTCTAGCAGGTGGTGCATGACAGGTTCATTTGGCACTCTGGTTCGCGAGGGCGCTTGGGTGATGCCATTCTCTCGGCCCACTCTCCTCTCATCCACACCCAGGGCGAATCAAAGCCATCCAGCTGGAGTACTCAGAGGCCAGGAGAACAATGACCAATGCCCTCCGCAAGGCCCCTCAGCACACAGCTGTCGGCTTCAAGCAGACGGTGAGCAGCAGTCATCCTCATGCCTTCCCCTCTCTTACTCGCCTGACACCAGTTCAGTTCTGGTTCCCTGCACAAGGGGCCAGAGAAGGCGTCCTTCATCTTCAGGATCCAGACGCCTGTTTGTGGGCAGCATTAATCAGGCACTACCCACACCTCTGGCAGCTTACGTTCAGAGTCTTCCCTTTGAGAGAGGTTTAGGATATTCCTGATTCCCCAGCACTCCTTGCAGTCATTCCAGTTGTGGGCCTGGATTGTGTCACTAAACCTGGTCCCTCAGGTGTCCGTTTGGGAGCGGTGTCATCTGTGGCCAGGGAGCCCAGAAAATCTCCATAAGGCTAACTGGCTCAGGTGGGGATAAACCTTGGCACCTAAGAGTTGTCAGTCACCAAGTATGTTTTTAGGCACCGTGAGGGGTGGAAAAGAAGGATAAATAGTATTTGCCCTTGAAGAGCTTTAGTTCTCACCAACAGAATGAAATGTGTATAGCTCTTCCAGCTTTACAAAGACCTTGTCATACAGATCACGTCATTTAAGTCTTAAAACAACACTTTGTGATTAGGATTGTTGTTCCAGTTTTATAAAGAACTTTGACTTGAAAAGGCTTGAGGGCCTGTGTTAAGTCATAGAGCCTGTCAGCCAGAATTTGGACCCAACTTTCCCAACTACAGTTCTCTGCTCCCACCTTAATACAAAGGCCCCACCCTTTTGCCCTTGATGGAAACAGGATGAAAATGTACAATGATTAGGTTGGTGTAATGGGAGACTTTATTTCTGCTCAGAAGTTCAGAGAAAGGCAGCTTTGTTTTTGGTCCAGTAATTAAATTATAAAGAAAAAAGTTCTATTTGGACTGGGGTTTGAAATATGAGTAGAAATCATGAAACTGCAGATAATTAACATAGAGTGTATCATATACCAGGAAAGAGGCTCTGTGGAGTAAAGCGGTGTTTTCAAACCAGATTTTCTATGATGAATAAGCTTTCAAAGTTTTCTGTTGTGGAGCCACATGACGGGGAAGGAGCAGAGAGGGAGCCGGAGTGAGGTCTTGGGCCAGTGGACTGTTGGCGAGGGAGCCGTATGGTAGATAGAGGGCAGGGATGAATGAGTGTTTGAGAGAGGGCCAGAGAGGACCTCATAGTCCTGCAGCCAGCCCTCTCAGACAAACAGATGGACGGACGCAGCTTCCCTCTGCCCTTCCCCACCCCCCCTTCTCCACCTTAACACTTTGAAACTTGAATGGGCATTTGAATCACCTGGAGATCTTGTTAAAATGCAGATTCTGATTCTGAGAGTTGCCGTTTCTAACAGGTTTCCAGGTGATGCTGGTCCAGGGTCCACACTCTGAGTTGTGAGGCTCAGCATCCAGCATCCATTACTGCCGCCGCCTTCTCTCCGTTTAAACTTGATGTCTCTCCGATCTCACTGTCGCCATTTTTATTTAAGGCTGGCTTCTCTGCCTGTACTCTTTGTCTCATTTTCTCCTAACTCTTCCAGGGCCTTGGCCGATCACCTATTTGCCTAAGTCTCTGGGCTGAAAGTTTTCCCACCATGCTTCTTCCCTTCTCTAGCAACTGTTCCATCTCCTTTGCATCTCCAACTCTCTCCATTTCCTCACTGCCCTCTCCTTGACCCCTAACAGCCTGAATTCTGCCCCAGCCACTGAAGTCCTGCCCCAGGCTCTTGGTTTCTGTCCTCCTGTGCTTCCCAGCTCTTGATGCTAGTGACAGCTCCCTCCTTGCAGGTCTCTTCCGTTAGCTTCCAGAGCTCAGCTGTCAACCATACTGCCTTCCTGAGAACACTCCTTAGTTTCCTTAGCTGACACTTCTTCCTCTGTGCATCCCTTACTTGTAGGCCTCCCCTCAAGTTTCTGTCTTCAACTGTTGTCAATCCACATTCTCTCCTTGGGTGATCTTGTCTGCCTTCATAGCTTCAACTCTCACCTCCGTGATGCTTCACCAAAGTACCTTACTAACCCTGACCCTCTCTTGGACACCAGACCTACAGATCCATCTGCCCACTGCCATCTCTATAGGTTGCCGCCTGACTCCTCAAAGTCAGCTTGTCCCAAATGATCCCCTCTCTGCCACCCCTCACCAGTCCTTCCTCCTGCTCTCCTTAGCTTTATTAATACTTCATCTTCCTGGGCACCAGACAGGAGCCTTAGGATCATCTTGGACTCCTTTTCCCCAAGCACTAAATCCTCTGTTGATTTGTCTCCACGTGTCTGTATTTGTGTTTGCCTCCTCTCACAATGCCAACGCCCTCACTGGAGCCACTGACATTTCTGAACGCCAGTCTTCTGACTGCTCGTCGTCTTCCCCTCACCAACCCAGCTTACACTCAGCTGCCTAACTAAGCAGAGCTCCAGGCCTGTCCTTACTGGCCCAGGAAGCTTCTGTCGCTCCCCATTGCCTACCCAGTAGAGTAACCTAATAACTAACATCTCTTTGTTGCTTTACACTGTTCAAAACAGTCTTCAGAATAGTCTTGTGAGGTACACAATCCAGGTATTATTATTGTTATCATTATACCCGTTTTCGGGATGAGGAAACCAAGGACTCGGTCACGAAGCATTTCCGAACTAGTGAGTAGAGATTAGACTTCAAGTATTCTGTCCCCAAACTGAACTACTCAGCCTGGCATTCAAAACAGTATGTCCCCAGGCTCTGGTCCCAACCATACCTCTCTTAATAGCCCTCCTTGTACCCTCTACTTGACTGGTCTGTCCTTCACTAAATGTTCCCACATTTTCCTGCCTCTTTTTCAATCTGTTCCCTTAATTGGAATGTTCTCTTTCCTTTTTCTGCTTTGTCAGAATTATTAAGTTACATGTTAAATGCCACCATCTGCGTGGATTTCCCCTCACACACGGATTACTCCAAGGGACAGGGACAACCTTGTGTATATGTGGAAGGTGTGGGCATGATCACACACAATGCATTTTAACCCCCATACCTCTTTCACAAGGAGTCCCTGGGTGATGCAGACCATTAAGCGCTCAACTACTACCCGAAAAGTTGGTGGTTCAAACCCACCCAGAAGCACCTCAGAAGTAAGGCCTGGCAATCTGCCTCCAAAAGGTCACAGCCTTGAAAACCCTGTGGAGTAGTTCTACTCTACACACATGGGGTCACCATGAGTCGGAATCAACTCAATGGCAACTAGCAACAGCCTCTCTCACCACACTGCTATCTCATGATTTAGCCATCCTGTGTTCTGGTTCCTCCTGCTTGGTAAAAAGTTCCTTGATTGAAGGACATTGTCACCTCCACCCTTGTTTCCCTTGCACAGTGCCAAATCCATGGTAGGCACTATTCAGAAAGACTTGCAGTTTCATGGAAGAGGAAAGGCCCAGTTTTCTAGCCACACACCTCTAGTCATTGACTGAGGTTTGTCCAGGCCCCTTTCCTGTGCTTCAGCCTCTACCCAGATACCGAGTTCTGCACGTTGTTCACCTCATGTCCTCCAGTACAACCCACCTCCCTAGCCAGCATCGCTGGCTGACACATTCCACCCCTTGAGCCTCTGGGCCCTGTTCCCTCACCGGTTTCTGAGCCATAGAAACTGCCCATCTGGCCTGTTTCAGAGCAGTGTGTTCACTGGTTGGCCAGATGAAATTAAGCTTAAGGTTGGGTGTGGCCAAAGGGTCAGAGGTTCCCAGTACCTGGCTCCACAGCAGAGATTTGATTCCATGCCCAGCACAGATTTGGGGTTTTTTTCCCTGCTCTTTGTGGCCTAATCACTGTGCCACGTTTCCCCACTTCCCACTTGTCCAACTGAATTGAGGTCCCATCTCATTCTCTTCTTCCACCCGGTGGAGCTCCCTGCCCACTGTGTTCCTGTGTGACACTCTGTCCAGGTGCACAAGCTTCTTATTGTGGTGGAGCTGTTACTGGGGGAGATCCCGGACCGGCTGCAGTTCCGTCAACCCTCCCTCAAGCGCTCGCTCATGCCCTACTTCCTTCTGACCCAAGGTAAGGCTGGTCCCCCTGCCAGAGCCAGCCACACTCCCTACCACTGTGGCCTTTTTGGTGCACGTGTCCATTTGCATCATCTCATCTGCTCCTCTTCCCCTACAGCTGTCAGGACTGGAAACCTAGCCAAGTTCAACCAGGTCCTGGATCAGTTTGGAGAGAAATTTCAAGCAGATGGGACCTACACCCTCATCATCCGATTGCGGCACAACGTGATTAAGACAGGTGTGCACCAGGGTCCGGGGGGCCACTGGACAGCAGGACCCAGACTGGGCTTCTCCAGGGGACAGGGACAACCTCGTAGCTATACATGGACAGATGAAGGGTCTGTGCCCACGCTGCCTGCCACTCCTTCCTCTCCCAGGTGTGCGCATGATCAGCCTCTCCTATTCACGAATCTCTCTGGCCGACATCGCCCAGAAGCTGCAGCTGGATAGCCCAGAGGATGCAGAGTTCATTGTTGCCAAGGTGGGGCTGGTTCAAGAACCGGCGTGGCCCAGCTTGTCACTGTCCTGCCTTGTTTCAGTGGTGGGAGTCAGGAGACAGGCCCAGAGGGGAGCAGGCAGGACAGTGGCATCATCTTTTCAGGCGGTGCCATTGTTTTGCAGTGAAGCCAGGAAGTTGCCAGAGAGAGTGAGTGTGTGTATGAATGTACAAGGGCATAAAGTGGACAGAGGAGTGGGATGTCAGAAGATGTCCTAGGACTTAGAAGAAGGGCTTTCTGGTGACTTTTCCTCCCTTTGGGGCCTGCAGGCCATCCGGGATGGCGTCATTGAGGCCAGCATCAACCATGAGAAGGGCTACGTCCAGTCTAAGGAGATGATTGATATCTATTCTACCCGAGAGCCCCAGCTAGCATTCCACCAGCGCATCTCTTTCTGCCTGGATATCCACAACATGTCCGTCAAGGTGAGAGCCCTGGGCTGCAGAGGAGAACTTGGCAGCAGCACGCCCCTCCCTGCATACCTGCTGACTCCTCAGGGGAAGATTGACTTGAGTACCCACTTCCCAGCCTGTCTGTAAAGTCACAGAATGGCAGGGCAGGGCCCAGAATTGGGACATGACTGCTGTGGTTCCACAGCCAGTTGCTCGTGGGGGCACAACCACTTCTATTGCTTTAAAGGGGTCTGGTAGGCAGGGAGGACTAGTCAGGGATGGAGAGTGAGTCTTTTAATGTCTCTGAGCCTCTTTTTCTCCATCTCTGAAGCTGACAGTGAGGTATTACCTACCCTACCTGCTTCAGAGGATTGATGGGATTAAATGAAATCACTGTACTAAGACACTTGGTGTTAGTTGCCATCGATTCCAGCTCATGGCGACCCCACATGTATAGAATAGAACTGCTCCATGGGGTTTTCAAGGCTGTGACCTTTTGGAAGCAGATTGTTAGGCCTTACTTCCGAGGCACCTCTGGGTGGATTTGAACCACCAACCTTTCCATTAGTAGTCTAGCCCTTAACTATTTGTGCCACCAGGGACTCGTATTAAGGCACTTACCCAAAACCAAACCCGTTGCTGCTGAGTCAATTCCAACTTACAGTGACCCTGTAGGATTGAGTAGAATTGCCCCATAGGGTTCCCAAGGAGCAGCTGGTGGATTTGAACTGCCGACATTTTAGTTAGCAGCCAAGCTCTTACCCACTATGCCACTAGGGCTCCATTAAGTCACTTAGAGAAGTCTAAATTGTATAAAATGTAGGGCTAATGTCTAGTTCCCAAAAAGGTTATTAAGCCTTTATTCTGTTCCAGGCACTGAGTTAAGTGCTGTTACTGTTTGGCCACTGTTTTTTCCCAGTCTACTTCCCCCAGGAAGCCTGGGATGTTACTTTCTTGCTTAAAAGCTGGCAAATGCCGTACTCAGCATGACACGCAAGGTCCTTTGTGATCTGGTCCCTTCCTATGTTTCTAGCCTCACTTCCCGCTACCACTCCTTTTTTCCTCCATTCCTACAACCAGTCCGTTCTTCCTTTTCCTCCTTACCACCAACCCCTCCACACATGCCAATCAAGAAGGCTAGGCAGGTATTCCTCTAAATTCTCATCCCTTTTTTTTTTTTTTAATGGTAATAATTTGTTTCTGTGCCTAGTTTCCACACTAAACTGACCAGCAGCCTGTCTTATTTATCCTGGTGTATGGTACACAGAAAGGACGCAATAAATGTATGTTAACGCCTCTTCTGCTTCTTTCCCTCCTTCATCTTGCTCCTTTTTCTCCTGTGCTTCAGGCCATGAGGTTTCCTCCCAAATCGTACAATAAGGACTTGGAATCTGCAGAGGTAAGCTTCCTTCTGTTTAGGGTAAGACTGAAAGATTGAACTTCCCTGCGGAAAGGGACAAGGGGACGTGTCCGGAAGGGCTGGGAGCAGCTTAAAACCTTGGGGCGGTTGGGCTCGTGAGGCGGTGAGAGGGTGAGCCTGACTGGTCCTCAGCAGCCCGGCCTCACCTACCTCCTTTCCCAGGAGCGGCGGGAGCGAGAGCAGCAAGACCTGGAGTTTGCCAAGGAGATGGCTGAAGATGATGATGACAGCTTTCCTTGAGCTGGGGGGCTGGGGAGGGGCAGGGTGAATGGGGGCTGGCTCTTTCTGTTTCCCCCTTGGGGGGTCCCCTGCCCAGGGAGCCAGCCCCTCTTCCCACACAACAGCTCACAGACTGCATATGTGCAGGGGCTGAGGGGTCCAGAGAGCCAGCCACCCCCACCTCACCCAGAGCCCTCCCCAGCCGGCGATTTAGTGCCCGATGGGCAGGTGGGTGGCAGGTGGCCTCCCAGGGCAGGGTCCTGGCTGGTGGTGTGGGCAGCAGGATGGGTGGGAACAGCCCTGTGCTTTCCTCTAGGGAGTGGGGGACTGGAATTGGGACATGTGTTGGGTTGTATGTTTTTTGAAGCTTCAATTATGATTTTTAAACAATAAAAAGTTCTCCAGAGTTCATTATGCATCAGTTAGTTACTCTACTTCACCCTCACAACTTGAGTGTTGACAGGAACAGATTTTTTTTCCTGGTCTTGGAGTGCTAGCCCCAAAGTGTAATCAGAGGGCCCAGAGGAAGCCAACGGAAGGGTGAAGAGACCCTGAGCTTGGATCAGAAGGTCTGGGTTTACTCCTTCTCTGTCTAACTGGCTATCAAATAGTCGACAAATCACTAAACCTCTCAGGCCCCTTTCCCACAGCCATAAGATAAAGGATTAGACTCAGTGACCTCCTGCCTTAAAATTAGGGATCTAGAGACTTCTGGAAGCTCAAGATTTAGAAAAAGCCGAGTCTTCCAGTCTGGCAAGGTACACAGAGGAAAAAGAAGTATCTCTAATGAGGCTGCCAGTAAGTTGGAAACAGGGTTTCACCTAATTGGACCTTGGGGAATAAGGGTAGTACTCCTTACTGGGAACAGAGTTGGTGGGGTCTGCAGGAGGGGCCTCGCCTTTGGCCCAGGCCACTTAATCCAGCTGCA